GACCATAGCCAAGATAAATGTTTCACTTAGACACATTTTAATTAGGGCAACTTCTTTACTTGATATAGTAAAATCAAACGTGAAAGCCTGAAACCTATTTTATCTCGAGTCGGAAACTACACTGAAAACTATAACTCACTCACCACGATCTGCTTACTCGCATTAGGAATCTGATGTTTACATTTTACGTGTTCCTTACCAGCGTCTCCCGTAGGCGTTTCTATAAATCTTCCTTACATCCTGAATTCCATAAATACGACTTTAATCGATAAACATTTAAACATCTTTCCGAAAATACTGTGCGGCTTATACATGGCCAAGCTGCTTCGGTAAGACACGAGGTTAACGAAGATGCGACGCGATTTATGAAACGAGGGGACACACGTGTGTCGGGGGGCGGGGGCGGGGGGGTTAATGATACGTGTATCTCAATCATCTGGCATGTGACACTGAAATATTTCTTTTCAAATATCCACACACATGTTGCAATCTGTATCATATACCCTTATTATGATACAGATCTTTTCACACGTATCAACACGTATGGGACCTTGAAAGATGACATATGCGGACTGCAGTATTGAGAGACAATTAAATCAGTATTGCAGGCCAGCCGTTGACTATGTTGCACCTCAAAAATTGTTATAGTAATAGGTTAATCGTGTACCTATTCGTTTGAAGTCAATAAATTAAGTATTATATTTAATCAAAAATTCTAATTTTAAAAATGCAGTCTACATCTACATTTTGATGCCGAAGACAGAGCGAGAGACAAGAAGGATAGCAGAAGAGTAGAAACAAAGAGAAATTTGATTGGGGAGAAGTGAGAGACACTTAGATTTCTGTGGGGGGGGGGAGCATCTTATAGTTAGAAGGTCCCCAGGCAACGCCCGCTCGTCCTTCCGGTAAGGAAAAAGTAATAATGAAGTCTTTGGAGTGATAATATCTGCTAGCAAACTGTCACTAATTTGATGCCGAATCTCGTCTAAATAATACTTAAGTATTCAGTCCGTACCGCAAAGTAAACACCACACTTCACCATTATAAAGATCAACTGATTAACGCTGTTTAATTAAATAATCGCTGTTTATTCTCAGAATCATGCGAGAACCACGAGTAGTCTCTGTGGGAAAAATCCAGAGCTATAGATTTTTAAAACAGGTGGTACATATTGTTACCAGTGGGCTTTAAAGGGTTAATCGAGCCATCAAACATGAAATACTCACCGCTGAGTACTGGGTTGATGACCACCAGAAGGAGTATTATGAACCACGGACGAGGGGTGTACCAGAAACCAAGCAGCTCGTTTGCTGCCGTCGTCTTCGTAATATTTGGTATCATGTCTCATGACACAGCCAGATCCTCACTCATACCACGGCGCCCTACTTTCGGGCCACGCACTAGGTACGACCACTTTGAAACATCTCGTGGAAAAGATACAGCGAATCGGTGTCGATGTACGAAACAGAATGACAAAGAACACGGAGAACAAAAGACGTCAACTAATTCAGGTATTCAAAAACACTAAAAAGAATCCCGTGTTTTGAGAAGTTTTATGTCATAATTATAAATATAAGCAGAACGTAATTATATTCTTTGTTGAAGTTATTTTGCACAGTCAAATCTGAGTAACTTCTATGAATCACACGGCCCTCTGTTTGCTTTTATTATTTCTGTTTGGCAAACCACAAGCGATTACGATGGGTCTGAGAAATGTCGAGTGTGGCTCTTAAATTCTATTTTATTGGTTTTCTTGGAACCGAGCTCTCAGGCAGCCTTAAATAGATTCAGGTATCTAGAAGAATCTAAAACACTCACACCCGACAACGAAATGTTTTATTTTAGAATATATAATAATTAAATTACAATAGACGGAACCAAAAGTACAATAATTTAATCCTCGAAAAATGAAAAACTAAAAGATGACCTACCCCCACAGACACGCGTTCATCGAAACAGTTGTTCACTTGTTTACGTGGTTACTGTATTGAAATTTGGTACAGTGTAACATCTCGGTCACTCTTTTACGTCTGCGTTGCTGTATCAAGTTTCTTACATACTGACTTGAAGCAGCTACAGATTTCTCAGCGTGCAATTTCTGTCGCTTTGAAAACATGTGACATTGATAAATAGCATATCGGCCAATTTAACACTTTGCTTCGGAGATGTAAAAGGTTCACCGTGAAGTGTTCCGCCCACACACGGGTACCACACAGACTCCCTTCCTGACACACATCTGGCAGCCTCGAAGACTCCAACACAACTAACTAGTTTTTACAACTACTAAGCTACTAAGACCGAACAGCCGTCCGTCACAACCATGTTGGCATCACCCCATGCAGACTACTCTACGTCATATGTTCCTTGCTGCAGAGGTTGAAGGACACACTCGGGTACTTTGAATGTTTAAAATAAGAGAAGTAAGTACTCTTTACGAGGTTGGAATTAGTTTCGAACTGTGGCACGGTTATTGTTCAGCCACCATAACGAGGTGTCTTATAAATAATGATTTTTAAACCCCACTGGACTGGTCGTATTAACAGCACACTAAATTCGAGGAATGCTTTATTTTTATACGGGTAAATCTTCGTCGTCCACATTAAAAGAAGAACATATTGTGTTTGAGAACAGGGTGCTTTCGAGAATATATGGTCCTAAGAGGGATGAAGTTACAGGTCGGTACAGAAAGTTACATAATGAGGAGATAAATAAATGTTTACTCTTCACAAAATGTTATTAGGATGATGATATTAAAATTCATCTCAGAGTAACAGGGTTTGGTTTGTGGATTGGATTCATATGGCTCAGCATAGGGATCAGTGGCGGGTTCCGGTGAACAGTACAATGATCTTCTGCTCCCTTAAACGGGTGAGAATTTCAGGCTACTATCAGCTTCTCAAGAACGACTCAGTCAGTTAGATAAAGGTTTAACTTTGGATTTTGGTTATGAGATGCGTTGAATGTCGAGTATTAATCACCATTTCAGAAAAATATTGCGGTTGCCGTATTCACATTCGCCTTGAAGATGGCTAATGCAATGTCTGCCGAAACGTTAGCTGATATTCAACACTCGACGTAGCTCACACCAAAAAATCGAGGTTATACATTGAACTCCAGCTGCGAAAAACCAAGAAAAAATGGCAGTTAGTTTGTTAGTTGTCTGGTCTTTTATGCGTAAGGAGGTTTTAGTTCAGATAAAAGCTTCTGAAACAGACTTGGTCGAAAGCCACGATGCAGGTGAAATATGCTGTGTGCAGTGCCAAATACTAAAATGTTTTTTTTCTATTTGGAAAACAAAGAATCCGAACTAAATTCCATTATTAGCATACAAGAGAGGAAATACTGGAACACTTGGAATAACAACTGAATTATTTTATACAATGCACAGTTCAAATCAAGGAAGCTGATATGGACAGCGTATACAGCACGTATGGAATGATGAGAAATACGGTACGTAAAAGATTTTGGTTTGGAAGTGTGAAGGACCACCTGGAAGACCTGGGTATAGATGGGGACAACATTCAAATTAACCTTAGTAAAACAGGGTTGGAGGATTGGATTTATGTAGCTCAGGACAGAGCTCGGGTAGGGCTCATAAAAGACGGGGTACTTGTTAATTAGCTTGGAGAACTATTATTAGCTTCTCAAGAAGGACTATTGTTCGGTGCCTTTGTATAGATCAGAGTTGTCTGGTAAACAACGACTTGTCAGGTGAGAATAATAAATATTCCATTCCAATTAACCATGCATAATAATCCTCTCGCCGTATTAAAAGTAAAGCAGCGTCATTAAACAATGCGTTAATATATTAACCAACCACCGATCATTTACACTTATCCGAGCAGCTGGCAATATTTCATCATTCCTCAAACGGACACTGTAGATTTCTCTTTCGTCCCTGCCTTTGCTAGATTTGCTACGTCAACTTCAAACACGAAGCATAACAGATTTTTCTGGAATAGACTTTCAAAGGGACACGTAAGCAGAATCATAGAAAATGTAAAAAGCACAAAGCACTTTTGATGCATAGGTTTGTCGCTATTGGAAGACAAGGCAAAGAGAGATCAGTTGTTGCCAGGTAGTACGCGTTACCAGAAAACGTCACGTGTAATTAAACACGAAAGCTATTTTTTATTTCCTTGCTTTTGATGTTTAAGAAACCAAAGCTTTCGATCTCATTTAGTATAGAATTTATCAGAAATATATCAAAAAAGATTCTTACATTACCGTTAAAGTCCACTAACCACGTCTATCCTTTTTCGTGACGATAAACCGACTATAAACCGTAATGTAAACGCTGTGAGTGTGACATAAGCTATTAACACAACTAAAGATGTTTTTTTTGTGCTCGAGACACTGGTAAAAACCGCGTTTTCCAAGCAGAATCTCTGGAATATAATCAGCTGGGCTTCTAAATGAAAGAAGATTAGACTGCACGCTCTATTGAGCGCAGACGCCGAGTAAACTGACGCGGACAATAACCAGGTACAGAATCAACAAAGTTTAAAGTGACTAAGCAGAAATGACTTGGGTCATTAATCACGAAGGTTGCCCGCAAGAGATGAATCTAATCTTTATTTACGGCTAATTTGATTTAACTTAATTCGATAAAATAACTACGCCTACACAGGTTTTAATTCTTTATTAAGTATGTTCAGTGCTTGTTGCTTAGACACAAAATATAATCAAGTGATTTATAAATTTTATTCATGTGATAACATTTCAACTTTTTTCGTCGTGTTCAGCGTTGTTGTGTGATCCTCCGAAACGTTTGTGTCTACCCCGAAGATCAACGACGACATCTTCACCGCCGTTGGATGAAATCTCATGCAGAAATATCTCTTTCACTTAAGTTCAATAGATTTATATGAAACGTGTAGTCTGCCAGGTAACATGAAAATGGAAAGTATAAATATTAAATTCCGTGGGACGTGCATCTCCTTATGTTTATAACTTTTTAACACTTTAAAGCCCAATAGTAACTATACATCCCCCTTGTTTCAACGACGAATAATTTTTCATGTTGTACCTATGGGTTTCGTGTGATTCTTACTGAAACATGGATTATTTCCTTGAACAGCGTTAAAAATTTGATCTTTGTAATGGTGAAGTGTAGTGTTTTCTTTGCGGTACGGACTGAATTCTTAAATATTATTAAATTGCCTACGCAGAGTATCCATGGGTTTCGTGCGATTCTCAGTGTAAACAGCGATTATCTCCTTGAACAGCGTTAAAAATTTGATCTTTGTAATGGTGAAGTGTAGTGTTTTCTTTGCGGTACGGACTGAATTCTTAAATATTATTAAATTGCCTACGCAGAGTATCCATGGGTTTCGTGCGATTCTCAGTGTAAACAGCGATTATCTCCTTGAACAGCGTTAAAAATTTGATCTTTGTAATGGTGAAGTGTAGTGTTTTCTTTGCGGTACGGAATGAATTCTTAAATATTATTTATACGAGCTTTGGCTTCAAACGGTTACTGGAGCCACAAGTGACCATCCAACATAAACAGGTTAAACAGCACAATGCAGTTTTTTGTAAACACAAATTTCAAAATATTCGTGTTCATGTCCACGTTGAATAAACCGCGAGGAACTGTCAGGTTCATTATATCATAATCTCTTTGTTATCCAGTGCGGGTGGTACAAGAACATATGAAGAAAAAACATACATTATGCCCATAGACCGTTTTGAAAAACGGCTATATTTTTAACAGTTTTATAAAAGCTAACAAACATTAAAGAATGTTTTTTAATTTATTAACACGTTATCAGAATTGTATTCATGAGTTCCATTCAACTAAACAATTATGTCTGATAAATGAAAGCATCTAATAGAATAATTAAAAACACACATAAGTGATCATTCATGTGCTGTAACAACACACAGTTAAATTGAATTATATTGGATACTCTGGAATTTGGAGCTTTGTATATTTACTTTGCGCTCAATGTGCAAACTGAATGCATATTGGAGAGATGATCTAACTCCAATTTCTCATCTTCCAAATCACTCAACAGATTTCCACCTCAAAAGTTGCAGATTCAACTAGTCCGTAATTAACAAAACAAAACATAGAATTTTATACCGTTATGATGTGTGATTTTGTCACAGTTATTGTCTCGTGATACCAGTATTGTCCTGGGAATTATCCAATGTTTAAAGTATATTTTATATACACGACGTTTCGGTACTTATTTCTACGCTAGTCTTTAGGTAAATGTGAATAGTACCAGCCTAGTAATACTCTTGGGTTCAATCCTAGTCAACGCTAATCAGTTTTAAGACAATCAGATGAAGATGAGATTAAAGCCAGTTCCAGAAACTTATTTAAATAAACTTAAATTAAATAATGCAGATTCGCACTGTCTTAATTGTTTAAGACAATAATAGCGGCCGAACGGGACTTTGTGATTCGTCAGCTGCTGTTTCCAGAACCGGTGACTTAGGGGTCAATAATGACTGAACGCAAAAGGAATTTAACGGATGCATCTGCGTGACACATTCGTACCAACCCCAACAAACTCAGCCATGACATTGCGACCAGCTAACGAAGAGATGCCAAACTGTTCCTCGAATTTATTTTTAATGCACATTAACACACAGTATGGGTGGCATTACAGGTGTCTGCCCTGTCGACCTACTGTTTTTCAGACTTTCGAAACCGCAGATCAGCATGAAGTATTGCAGACTACTGTAAATCGATCTATACGTCTTCGATTATCTTTATAATGTAAACTAGTAAATTCCTCGTGAATAATGAAGGGGAATATAAAGCCATAAATATCCCACAAGGCCCAAAATTCCTTAACAGTAAACGATCACCTCCCAACCAAATATTGTAGATTACGCTACGTAATATATTTTATGGCGAAATGCGCCGAAAATCAGTACCACAAAAACTGTCGATGCTGTCTTCCAGGTTGTTCGGAAATAAATATATTAAACGTCAATCCCAAAGAAGCAGCCAGTATGTCCCTCCAAAACGTTATCTATCTAAAAGTCCACACTGGGTTATAACCCAGAACATAATCTATCCTCACCTCCGTGAGAACCTCAGATCTGACATGGACTGAATTTTTTTGTCTTATGATACGGTCCGATGACGGGCTCTTACGTATAAACACGTTAATGGACTATCGGGTTCCATGAAACACACTTTCTTTTCTTTTAAACTAGCTCAACTTCTCAAGAATCAGTATGCTAGTTTCCGTTCACGTTACCTTGTATTGGAGGCATGGTCTCTTTAACGGGTTCCCTGCAATGTAATAAAACC